ACTTGGTACCAAACTGTTGCTCTGCTCCATAAATGATGATCAGCACCCAGGGATGACTAAACTGAGCCCATCATCTTCCCTGCACATGAAACACTGGAGGTTTTTTCCCATCTGTTTTAATTAATCTCATTATCTATGAATTAACAGAATACTGCTTAAGGAAATCACGTCTTGCTTGGTCGAATTAATGTTTTAGTTGCACTGAAACCTCTCTATTCTCTAGAAGAAGTGTTAAATGTTCCCAAACCAAATATTTGGCAGGTGAAAACACACAATCCACCCCAGTCAGATACAGAGATTCCTCTTGAGCAGAGTTAATGGCATTAGTGCCCCTCGGTCAGTGCAAAGCCCGGGTCTTATCTCTGACGTGGGCAGATAAACAGATTTCCAAGGCCAGAGCTCACATGGCACCTTGGCTTTCAAGGTCACAGGTTACACAGCAGAGAGGCCAATTCCAAGCCACCCTTACACATGTTCCTAAATAAAAAGTAAGAGGATGTTTTGATCTATGTATTCACAGAGCCCATGGACACGGTCAAAATATCAGTTATATACTTATATATTAAATTGCACTTACTATAAATCCTGCCTGGCTTACCCCACCTCTGTCTGCTGGGGAGCACATGAACAATCCCAACAGATATTCCAATATTTTCTCTTCCCTGAAGTTATCACCACTTCTTTTTCTCCAAGAATTCAAATGAAAACCCAAGCAGGACGAAATTAAACCCACTACTCATTCTGTTGGCTAAATTAGGCTTAATAATTAAATAAAGCATCTAAAGGATGTTTTATGGGAAAACACCACTTCAGATATCTGATTTCTTCATGGGCTGAACAAGAGTTATTTCTTTCAGGTAACAAGATCCTATATATGAAATATATCCCGTATATGAAATGTAACACATGGACACAACCACTGTCAGACTCTGTTCTGCTTCAGAATCCCTTGGTCTTCAAAAAAAAAGACACCAAACCTGAGATTAACAAATAACTGTGAGATAATGTGAGTCCTGCAGGACTTTTCCACCATTTGTATGATAATGAACACCTACCCCATAGACCCAGATGTCTCTTGGACATTTACAGCAACTCAAAGTAACAGAAGGAAAAAGAAACTAATTTTTGGCCCCTCTTTTAGGGCAAGCAGCTACAACTCAGTTCTCCAAATCAGCTTAAAAACTCCATCACAACGAATTTCCTCGTTAAAAGTAAATAAATAATGTGGGATGTACAAGCTGAAGAAGCCCTTTTACAAGCTCTTAAAAACTGTGCTATGGGCTAGATCTTAGATTAATGTTGGTGATGCACACACTGGAAACCTGTAAAGCATTTCTGTAATTGCTAAGCATTATTATTTTTATTACTGCACCAGATGGAACCAATCCATCTTCGCAGATAATATCTCATAAATGATTCATTACTATTCCTTTAACCTAAAGTCTTTTCTATTTTGCAGATCCACCAGAAGTAACTATTAGGAGGTTCCATGCATAAAATAGTACATAAACTACCTAATGTCTTCCAAATGTATGAGCCTTGCTAATGTTCACCCTTAGGATGGTCACGCTGCTCCTGCTCCTCTCAGGATCTGTTGCTTCTGGAAGATCTTCCTCATTTTCCAACACTGATTTCCAGGTAAAATATCACTGCAAACCAGGGGTAAAGTTTATAGTTTATATTCCTGCCATTGGTGGCAAATATGGACCAGGAGAAGGCTTTATAAGAGATACAAATATCTCAAAAAAATGCACAGTATAGTTTTATAATCCAATAATTGATGGCTTCTCCCTCCAGTTAAACAGAACCCCGTGATCACACTGCCCATCTCCCCTTTGCCCAGTAACTTTTGGACCAATTTTAATCAGATCACAAAGCCAGGTGGACTTCTCAGAGATATCATTTTCTATCAGCTTAATGAAAACTGATGGCTGGGAGAGAGGAGAAGGACACAAATTAGTGCTGCCACTGGTAAAAGGGCTCAAATGGGAGCTCATCCATCTCCCCCCAGGCCTGGACTGCCTCTGGCCATGCAGACACTCTTTGGCCAAGCTCAGACATCCCCTGCCCACTTTAGACACAGGCACTGATGATACTTTTAGTGAAATAAAGCTTGTCTAAAAATGTATTTAAGGTTGGCACAAGCAAAGGAATCATAATGGTATCAGTGACTGGTGACCCCAACACCTAAAATGGGAAAAAATGCTGAATTGCACATCAAAAAACCCCCCATTTCTTGGATTAAAAGAAAACACAGAGAGAGAAGCTAAACCCACCACAATTAGCTTAATATTTCGATGGATATTTTGAATATTTGATGGATAGTTTGACGACCTTGGGACCATCAAGAGCCAAAAAATAATTCCCAGAGTCCCATGTGTGAACCCCTGGGCTTGCAGGTCTGCACTGCTTCCAGGGGATTATTTGGGTTGCCTGAGCTGCTCTTTACACCCAGAACAATTAGCCAATGGAATGGTAAAAGCTTGTTGCAAGTGAGGAGCCCTGGTAGGATGCCTGAAATATTTATGAGATTTAGCAATGAGAAAATAAGTTACATTCCCCATGTAACACAGACATCGAGGTTTGGATGTGAGCTAAGGGTTCTTCTGCTTGTATTTGGTGCAATGGGATAAATTAAGATTTCTTTGGTTTTTTGGCTGAGTGGTTTTAGACTCAGCTTTAATATCACTTCTTTATTAGCTGAGGATTAGGGGTGTTTGAGTAAGGATGTCACACACAGCTCAGTTTTCTGTTGTCACCCCTCAGACAACAGAATTCAAGCATGTCTGAATACACTGGAAATATTAATTTAAATACACCATTTAAACCTCAGCAGCAGCAAGTACCAGGGAAGCAGAAATTAAAGCTGTTGTGAATGTTTATGTCATTTTGTTTAAAAACACGACAAACTACGAAAGTAAAAAATTAAGGAAACCCTCAAAGAAAAACTAAAATCCAACGGTCAAGATAATGATCTGTGCTATGAAAAGCACAACATGCAGAGAACAAGACACGAACAGCTTTGTATTTACCTCTGGAACTCCAAACTCTGGGGCCTGCTGCAACCAGAGAAGGGTTTGAGCACCTTGGGAAAGCAGCAGCCCCATGAAGAATCCCGATCTTGGAGGACTTTTCCAACCTAAACGATTCTGTGACCCCACAGCCCAGCTCTCCCCTCCTCTTTGGCTCAACCCATCACCACTAAACCTGCAGCATGAGGAGTTTTCAAAGGTTCCTGGTACTTTGCCTGTTAATTCTTCCCACCTTCACTAAACTGCAGCAGAGGAGGGTTTGGGGATCTAATTTGTTGATGATATTAAACTCCTGCTCAACCTCCTTCTTCCAAAGGTGTTTTATCATCACCGACACATGTTTAATTTAGCTGGAAAAATGTGTTTGGGGCTGAATAGTAGAACTTTGTCGCTGGGCACTTGGACACTGTCTCTCTTCTAAACATTTTATAAGTCACTATTTCCCTTGGAAACCACATGAAAGCATCTCTTGAGCAAGTGGGGCTATCTTTGACTTGAAAGGCATCATGTGATCTCAGCCATTCCACTTCCAACCAGTTTTCCAGCTCATTCTGACTCACAAAATAGTAAACTGCCTCGAAAGCTTGCCCTCAAAAATCTAAATTCATCTAAACTTTTCATGAAAATTCATGCAAAAACGCAGTTTTTCAGCACCCAAAAAAAAAGGAAAGTCAAATGTAGAATAAAATGTTTTCTGAGCAGCTTCGAATTCCATGTGGAAAGGAGAGTGTGGAGCCAGGTCCTCCTTTGGTGGAGGGTGACACAGTGAGGGGCAGGCAGAGGGTGATGGTGCCCTCCTAAAACTCCTTCTCAAAGGGGAACCCTACAAAGTGCAGGGTTGAGGCATCACCATGAAAAGACAAAACCTCAAATCCTTCATCTTTGACTGAGCTGTTCGATATTCCACTAGAAGGACTGGCGTTTAAAGACCGACCTTTTAAAAATCATTTCTTTTCCACTCCTCTTGTTACATAAAATAAATATTCCTCATAAAACCAGGCACAGATTTTTTTTCCTTTTGCTGACACCTCAGTTAAATGTGATGAGCTGCATTTCACTGCATTCCCTCTTCTGACATGACACTGCTGTGAGCAGGAGAACCAAATCAGCCCTAATTCAAGAAAATCCCTCTAATGCAGGTAATTTTTAAAAATCTCTCACGACTGGGACCGTCTGACTTTTAACAAGGTAGGTTTGGCAAGTTCTTACAGTAAGCCATGCCCAGGAGAACAATGTGCAAGCAGAGTTCACTTCCTTCCCAGACATGTTTTCCCTTGTGCTCAGCTGTTCCTGCTAAGACTGGGATGACTCTGATACCACTTTGGCCTCTCAGTGTGCAGGTTTTAACTCTGTTACTTAGTTAATTCACTTGCCTCGACCCGAGGTTTTTAAATACAACTCCCAGCTGTTCGACGCAACCAGGTTTCATTTACACATCTCTAACGACCACGAGACAGAAAAGAGAAATCCCAGCCTCAAAACACACATTATTTTATCCCAAGGGAGAGAACAGTAAGAATTCAGCTAAAGGGACTGGGTAGGATGACAGTTCTGCAGAGAAATACGTTTTCATTTCAGGATCCCCACAGCTATTTTGAATTTAATTCCATGGAAGACCACCAGGGTTTCTGCCTCAAACACAAACCAATCACCAAAGAAGTAACTGTGACGTGCAGGAAACCAATTCTAATGTGTTGAAATGGTTTAAAAGGAACCAAAAGGCAAAAAAATGGCAGGAAGTGTGACTTTGAAGCGTGCACCAAACTGGGGTTTGGGGCTCTGGCAAAAGGAGAAGTTTGCAAATTAAGTTATTAGCAGGGAGGGAGCTGTACAGGAATGATGTGGCCTAATCCAGATGGAAAGGGATGGGTGGGAACAACAGGAAAACAGGTGTCATCCCTTCTTTTGGGATGCCTGGGGAGCAGAAAGCTCACAACACACCTCTGAAGGTGTCCAGCACTGCCTTACCTTTCTGGAGGTGGGCACGTGGCTTGGGGGGTCACCAGGCTGGAAGGAACTCTGCCAAGAGAGAGAGAAAGAAAGAAGATTAAACACACTTTGCAGGTAAACTGGGGCCTGTTTTGACACAAGAAAATACTCTGTGTGTAAAAAAAGACGTGAGATTTTAAATCAGTTCTGCAGCATTTAGTCCAGAAAATACTTCCCCTGCTCAGTCACGTTGCAGGACACAGAATATTTTGTATTCAGGTGAAAGAGAAATGTTGGAAAAAAGGGAAAGAGTCAGATATAGGCAGGTAATAACAGGGTGGGTCTGGAGATCAACTGATCCCCCGTTAAATTAGAATTGCTGAACCAGGGGGAAGTAAACACAAGTTACTAAATTGTGCTACTCTGACACTTCCCATTCGGAGAGAACACATGAATCACGGAGAGGGCTGAATATTTGTCACAGCTGTGATTTCAGCATCAAAGAGAAATTAATTTTAGCTCAGATTCGAGGGGAGTTTCCAGAAAAGTTGTCAGTTCAGCCAACCGGATACTGGACTGCAAGGGGAGTTTTCCCTGGGGTTGAAGCCACCCAAGAACAAGCCCTCAAAACGCCACGGGATGAAGAACATGGTCAAGGGCTTTGGTGGCTTCTTGGGTGAAGGTGAAGCTCTCGGCACACTGAGACATCACAAGATGCATTTTGATGGGGTTTGATGCTTTTCAATCGATGTGTGCGCTGAACATTTTTGATTTCAAAGACGAGGGATCGTCAGCAATACAAAAATACCCAAATGCTGAAGCACAGTTTTTCGGGTTTTCGTGATGAAAAATAAAAATGATGCCCTGAAGTTTTTCTGCTCTCCAAAGCAGTGGGGTTTTTTTTGTATTCTTGGCAACGACAGAGCTCCAGTTCCACCCTCAGCCCTGACTCACTGGGAGTGCTGGGGAGGGGAAGTGGCCCAACTCCACGAGCCTGCACAGGAGGGAGAGCTGGCAGCAAAAAGGAATCGTTTATATTCCAAAAAAAAAAAAAAACAACCAAACACCGTGATTCTGGAGTAAACAAACTATTTGCAAGTTCAGGTTGGATTTCACAGCAGAGCAGAGGAGACCTGAAACTTGGAGAGTGTCTAAAAGCTCGAAGCAAAACATTTGATGTGAAACAAAATGGTGCATTCAATTCCAAGTTAATCGTTTCTGCTGAGAAAAACGCAGACAATTCTGGTTTTGTTTTTAAAAGTGAATTTCTGTATATTGCTGTTCTTACAAACCCTGCCAAACACAGGCACACGCAGAAGTAAATCCAAATTTTAACCCCCAGGAGTCCAGACTTTCCACACTTCTTTGAACCAGTAGCTGATGAAGACACTTGTATTTCCCAGATTCGTGCTACCACCCAAAACTTAAAAATGTCTCTAAATCACTCTAAAATGTTAAGAAGGATATTTTAGGTGGGGGTTAAATCCATCTAAAGGTGATGTGAAATTAGGAGGAGGTGTCCTGGCTCCTCTGCTGTCCTGCCCACTCCTGCCTTCGGAGTTTGGCTCACTTTGGGGTGAATCAGTGCAGAAAATGAGGCAGCCAAGAACTGACTCCACAAAAACTCTTTTCTACCAGCTGAGCTCCCTGAGCCAGCTCTGCACGGGGCAAACCAGCATCACAGGGTTTGGGGAAACAGGAGAAAAAATGATGCCTCTACACAGGTATGCAATTTTTTTCCATCAGCTCATTTTTCAATTCCTTATCTCCAACGTAGGACCCTCAGCATATTCCAGCACCCCTCTGTTTCCTATCCCTGGGCTCAGCTCTCTCCTTTCAGGTGCAAATAATCTGATTTTTAGCCCACTGACAGAAGCTAGAAACAAAAAAACCTACTTACAATTTCAACATTTCTCTAAAGAATAAAAAGCAGTTACGAGGCAATTTATGCAGTTGTTGTTTCTGAAACATAAAGGAGGCTCAGATTATTCTCAAACGTATTTTTTTCAGCAGCACAGAATTTTTTCTCTGCCAGCCTCTTATTATTGCACCTTCACTTCTCAGGACCTGTGCATGCAGTGTTTTATGGATGAAGCCCATCAGATATTGCTGCAGGATTGGGCTCCAGTCCCACTGGAAGCTCAGAAACACATCTCCAGCTCTCACCCTCAGAGCAAACTGCTCAGGGAACAGGATTTAAACTTCCAATATCCCACAGGATGACTTGCAGGCAAATCACTGGGGATTGATCCGTCAGCTGCTTCACAGCTTGTGTTTGGAAAATACATTTTTTTCCTGTGGAAATCCTGCCTAACAGGTTAAAAGGGGATTTTCCACCAGAAAACCCACAGCAAAAACTGAAGTGGAATTGCAGAAATAGCTAAAGCTGACCCAAGACCCCTCTTTGCATCTCCAGCTGCACATCCCCAGCACCTTCCCTGGATCAGAGCTCTGGAAAGCTCAGCCTGAAGGACAGGGAGAAAATCAGGGCTCTGTCCATCCCTGAGCTGATCCAGCGTCCGGCTACAGGATCCCTGATCCCAGGGGAGGTGTGGGAGCGTGGGAGGAGGTGGGAGGACAGGTCTGGCCCCTTCCACACTTCGGGGCTGTAGCTGCAGGGAACGTTCACAGGAAATCTTCCTCCCAAAATAGGCGTTGTTCTTCTACACCTCCCACTGAACAGTGGGTACAATCCAGGAATACAGACTTTGGAAACGGTTTCAGAGGAGCTCTGAGGAATGTATCAAAAAGTCCATATGGTTTTGCCAAATCAAGTGTGCAGAACTGGGTAAATTTAGCCCTGTGCTGAAGATCTAAAATTTGTCTTGTTTGACCCAAGTGGAAGGAACAGAGTCAGAGGGGACTCAGACACACATGGATCTGATAATTCCTCATCTTGGGAGGGGGGAAAATTGGTGAGTAACACATTATTTAATGTGTGGAAACAAAAGGACACCTCGGATCCCAAGGAAGGGCCATGGAACATGAAAGCACTCCCCAGACAGGTCCAAATAATGCTACTTTCTCTCACATATTTAGGTGGTGAAATCACAAGTGACAAGCGGTTGGCGCTGTGACAGCTGGGCCCATGTTTCCAAGTTTTTCCTCCTGTAACTCAGAAGAGTGAAAGCTTTGTTTTAAAGGAAGGTGGAAATTCTTACAATGAGACAGGAGGTGACGGCTCCAAGAAAAAAAATGACACCTTGTTCATTGTAAAAATCACAGGTGTTCCCAAGAGTGAGGTGTCAGTAAATAAGGAAAGGCTTCCCAAGCCTCCCTATTTCCATGTGCACTGGGATAGCTTAGCCCAGTGCTGTTCATGCCATGCACCTGGAGCACCCTGGAGTTATGACCTTTCTAATTTCCCTTCCATATCCAAAGGCCACCCCTCTGGAGCCTCTGGAAGCTCAAGGTCAGGCTCAATTCCCCAAGCTCAAGTGGCTGAGCTTTCTCATGCAGATACTTCCAGGAGCAAATCTTGAATACAAACTGCTCCTTCTTCACCTCAGACCCTGGGGCAGTTCTGGGACCCCAGATCAGGACATGGAGGGCTGGAGCACGTCCAGGGAAGGGAATGGAATTGGGGAAGGGTCTGGAGCAGCTGAGGGAGCTGGAGGGGCTCAGCCTGGAGAAAAGGAGGCTCAGGGGGGACCTTCTGGCTCTGCCACTCCCTGACAGGAGAGGGGAGCCAGGGGGGGTCGGGCTCTGCTCCCAGGGAACAAGGGACAGGAGGAGAGGGAACAGCCTCAGGCTGTGCCAAGTAAAGTTTAGGCTGGATATGAGGGAAAATTCCTTCATGGGAAAGGTTGTCCAGGCCAGGGCAGTGGTGGAGTCCCCAACCCTGGAGGGATTTCAAAGCCCTGTGGATGTGGCACTTGGGGACAGGGGCCAGTAGTGGCCTTGGCCATGCTGGGGGATGGTTGGACCTGATGATCTTAAAGGTCTTTTCCAACCAAAATGATTCTGTGATTCCACGATTCTGGAACACCTTCTGCCTCCCTCCTCTTGTCCCCTCAGTGATCAGAGGCTTTGGCAACAGTTCCCTGAATTCCCCTTAAGACAGAAGAGGATCAGGATGCCTTCCAAAATCCCCTATTTTCTGGCATGCTTGCCACGTCAAAAGAGTGGGGGGTTATCAAGCAGCACATGCAACAAAGCCCCCCAAAATCACACAGTAACACGAGGTGCAACTAGAAAAAGAAGGGTGTTTAAGCACCACTACTAATTTCAATATAAGAATGCAAAAGGTTTATAAAACTGAGTAGGAAACATTGAAAGGCAACACCTGTGTAATGGGAAATACAGGAACTAATATATCCCTATGAAAGGAATAAAGGAAAGTCCTTTGCTGATTGAACTTGTACATTTATCCAGAAAAAAATTAAGATTTACAGCTCATTTTTTAGTCACATTAAATGAATATCCAGCCTTGTGGATGAAACATTCAGGATGTTGTCCTGAGAACACTGAAATCTCAGATTCCAGGAACTTCAGGCAAATCCTGGTAATTTTACCTTCCAAACCTTCACTTTTACACGTTAAAAAAACATGATTATGCTTTTCAAAAATATCAGCCTGTGGTTATAAAACTCTTCCCATCCTCTTTTCTGCCTCTAAACTTTAATTAAGTCCCCCCTCTGCTCCCAGGCAGCAGGAGCAGCCTAATGGCTTCAGAATATTTTCTTACAAACTTCAAAACACACAGACTCGCTGTGAGATGCAGCCTTTGAACTCGAGCTGCTTAAATAATCCCTTTTATTTTTATTTATTTTTGAAAATATCAGATTCTAATCCTCTCTAACCAACGTAATAATAATTAAAAAAAAAATAAAGCACAGATCTTTGGAATTTTTTCTTATTCTTTTTTGTGATGTTTGGTGATGGATCTACGGATAACTGTGCAGGATTTTTCACATGAAAAGTGTTCACAGCTGCAAAAAAAAAAAAAAAAAGGCATAAAAATTGTTCTCCTCAGCAGATTTTGGAGAAGTTTTGCAAAGCACTTTTCCTGACAGATGTAAAGCAAAGTAACCTGCTCAAAGTCACCCAACAGGTTGGATTTCTGATGTGATTCTTTACAAATATCTGGA